TGCTGCTGCTGCTGTTGCGAATAATGAGCACCTCCTGGCCAGTGTGTCGCTCCGTTTGCTCCGCCTTTTCTTGTGTCACCTCGCCACACGTTTCGGCAGTATTTCTTTGTGTGTCCTCGCTCTTTACACTGATTGTATGTCTTTCTTTTCCACTTTGAAAACACTTGACTTTGTTTTGCCCTTTTCACCTTGGCTTCGTGTTTCCCACATGACAATTTTATTTTTTATAAATTCACAAGTTCGTTCACTCTCTTTCATGGTATCAACTAAATCTCCAATATAACTTAGTGAATCCGGTAATGTTTTGAGCATATAATCGAGCTTTTCTCGTTCATTTACAGTTGCTCCGGCACTTTTCAATTCGTTGATTACTTTCTCAAATTCCGAAAAAAGGTGCTTGATTCCTCAAAGTCTTTTAGCTTCATCCTATCAAGTCTATTTCTTATGCAGATTTGCAATGCAGTAGATTTCTTCAGGTATATTTCATCGAATTTGTTCAATATCTCTAACGCCGTATCTTTGTCTCCAACGAATTCCAGTTGCTCATTCGAGATGCTGCAGTATATGTAATTCATCGCCTTCAGATTCTTTTCATCCCACTCAGCTACCGTATCTGTATTCAACCTTCCTCGAATAGCCGGCTCATCGCATTTTTTTAATTTCAGATACAGTAAAATCCTTTTCTTTCATATGTTGTAATCACGTCCATCGAAGATTCGTAGTTTGAATTCTTCGTCCTTCATCATTTTGATTTGTTTGATAATCTTCCTTTCGTTACCAAAAATCTTGACTTTCCATATCAACACATTTTTGATTTGTTCTTCTAATAACCCTTTTAATTCATCAGGATTTATTCTTAATTCACTTGGCTCAGTTTTCACTTTCTTACTATTAGTTACACCTGGCCACATAACCACGCTCTGCTACCATGTTGAGAATAAAGCCTGGATCAGTTTAATAATGTCTATGGCACTTCTTTGTGTTGTTCTACAGTCTAATATTTATAAGTATTTATTTTCTTATTAATCCTTAACAACTATAGATACAGTAGATTTCTTATTGTTACATGCCGCTTGGCGAGAGATATTCCTTCTGCTTACTCCTCTTTATATATCCCTCTCAAACCATCCGTTTTCCCCACTTCTCGCGATGAGCACGCACGCTCGCACATACGCACACGCTTCTATCACGCCGAAAACAGATGTACGCAAACAAAATTACTTATTTCTCAACAATTTCTTTTGAGAATTTCTATTGAGAAGTCGCATCGCCCGCTCGACCGCGATAGAGTATTACAATTAGTATCGTCGTCTCTTTGTTGGTCCTCTCACTGCCAAATCATCGCGTACTGTAATTACATTAAAGTCGTGAAAGTTTTCCGTTTCGTCGTTTGTGTATGTCGGAATTCGTAATTTTACTTAGTACTGCGTTTCATTGTACGCCATGGCCAAACGAGCCGCGTACCAAACGCCGATAATTGCGAGAGTTTTCGTATATTTTGTCGTTATTGTGTTGGAAGTCGGAAGTATAAGAAGTATTTGCATATCTAGTGATTTATTTTATATTGGTAACATAGCGTTGCGTTCGCGCCTGTGGCGCTCAGCTTGATGTTTCTAGCGCTCGTGATTGGGCCTACAGCCTCAAGAATACGTGACCGCCTCTCACTGGTCACTTTTTAAAATGCGACACCTGATTGGTCGCTTGAGATATTTCTGGCGCCGTTGACGCCAGAAGATCAGATTGTAACCGAACATAGACATAGTCAGACGTGCGCGTTTTCGTTTCCGAGAGAATAGAGTACAAGTCGTTTATACACTGCTACGAGGTGATTTATCCATTTTGCCTAGTCTCCTTAATCTAGTTGCCCTCTCTTAACTATTTCCTGATACAAAAGGCATTCATTCCGGACGTATAACCCTTCCTTTATAGTTCAGAAGTGGGATAAAGGGAAAAACCACGTAGCAGTTTGTGACGCATCGTCGTTCTTTTAAATTGTCGTATCTTTTACTCGTCGTCCCGCGAGTTTGTCTATCTCGTCTAACGAGTTGCCGGTATCGCTTCTTCCAGATCGCCATTTTTCTACGTTGCCGTGTGTCGCCTTCCAAGCTTCCGCGTTCGTTTTCCGCCATTTTGGGCTCTCGACGGAATTTTCCAGGCCCAACGGTCTTTTAGAGGCTTCGTTTAAACACATTTATGCGTTGCCTGCACACGTGTGTCTTGCGTGTTCGCGCCTGTTAGTACACGTAATCGGCGTTTACCATGGATGCGCTTCGCTTACAATTGGAATCGCTTTCGCTTAAAGAGCTCAAGGAGGAACTGAAAAAAAATAATCTTCCCGAGGAATCTACCAGAAAAAAGAAAATGTATGGATGCGATCCTGTCACATTTTGAGAAGCATCAAAAATCGTCGCAGTTTAGTGACAATGCAGAATGGAAACGTGCGCAAGGAGAAGAGGATTACATTTCTCAAGCTGGTGCAGTTCCTGTAGGTGTACAAGCGCCTGATGTAGTGCTTCGTCACTTGATGCAACAGATAGCGTTCCTGTCGGAGCGAGTTGCGCTTTTATCGTCGGCAAAACCCGGAGTCGCAGCCTCTGAAGTGACATCTTTGCCCGTTGTTGACGAAGTGCGCCGTGAACCTTTGTTT